TATATATAAATATATGTACGTGTATATCTGTGACTTTGAAGAAAAAAGGTAAAAGATTATTCCGCATACTCATTTCGCTTCCCTATTCCATTATATAGAAATATATAAATCTGTTGGTATATATTTAATTTGGTAGCATGCTTAAGAGTTTGTACAATTTTAACTTGTATTTAATTTAAATTACAATACAAATACCACATATCTGAATTGGAAAAGAGTTATGATTCTAAATCAAATTCAAATTATAGTTTTTAAAAATCTTTAATATGAGTTTGGATTTTGTGATAGTATTAAAAATTCTGGATCACTGATATAATGTAAAATAATTCAATTGACGTTTAGTCTCAATATCCGAATGTTAAAATGAGAATGCTTTTGTTATTATTAAAAAATATGTAAATAATTTATTATGAAATATTATATCTGTCATTCTCATATATATTAGTTTCAATATAGATATTCAAAAGGACAATATAGTATTCTCATCACAATTAAATGTAATAAATTATATGATAGATATAATTTATAATGTATATATTTTAAAAAAATATTATAATCTATCCAAAATGCAATAGATTGAAAGATCGATCATTCTCTTAAATATATTATTTTCAAATTTTAATATTCAAAATAATAAATAATGTGAAAGAGGTTATAAACTATTTAATTCGTCAGGATCTATTATATTTTCAAAAAGAATTATAATAGTTATTTACATATATAATATTCAACATACAAAACTTAGTAAATTAAAGATTGATCATTCTCTTAACTATGGCGAAATACTTTTAAATTCTATTATCTGAAAGGAAAATATAGTATACTCATCGCAATTAGGAATAATAAATTACATGTGTAATAACATGTTAAAATTTATAAGCATTTTGCTATTTATATACTAAGCACATAATAAAATTTGAATGACGCAAGAGATTTCATTTAAGTCAATGTTCATTAAAAAAGATAATTCAATCAATTATTTTTAGTCAAATAAAAAGAATATCTTAGAAGCTCTATGTCAGATTATTTAGGAAAGATTCTAAAAACTTCAAGTGCATTTATTTAGACTAGTCTAAATTAGTTAAATTATATTCTCTCCATTATTACAAAATCCTAAAGGAGTAAGTAAAATTTAGACACAGTTAATTTAAATGTAGGAATACTTAAAAATTGTAATTGTCAAATTGAGTAGTCTATAAATATACTTCATTCTACTTCATCCTTATTCAATCATTCAAATCATAAATTAATCTTTTTATTCGTGCTAAATTTATCCATGGAGCCTCCTTGGAAGGTAAAGGGCCGCCAAATGATTGAGATGGTGAAGATGAAGAAGGCGACGAATCTCCAAGTTACCTTTGCCAAACGGCCGGCTAGCATTTTCAAGAAGGCGAGTGAAATTAGCACGCTTTGTGGCGCTAAATTTGCAGTGATTATTTTTTCACCTGCCAAAAAAGTGTTCTTTTTTGTCAGTCCTTCTATGGAAAAGTTGATCAATCGATTCAGTGGCCTAATAGAACAACCTCCTTCAGCTAACAGATGTATGATGGATGCTCATCGAAATGCTTATCTCCAAGGGCTCAACTCACAGCTAAATAAGGTATAATCACTACCATGTCTTCATATATCTATACTATTTGATTTTTATAACTAATCCTTGAATTTTTTTTGGACATGATTATATATAATTAAAGCTTAATGCCCAACTGGATGCTAAAAAGAAGCAAAGTGTGGAGCTTAAGAAGGTGATGAAGGAGAATGCAAGTAAAGCCTGGTGGATGGGTTCCATAGATGACATGAACCTTTCACAGCTTCAGCAATTTCAAGCTCCTCTTGAGGAATTATACGAGAATGTTATAAAAGTTGCCAAAGAAAAAGATGTTGAAGAGGACAATATTAATCCTAATTCTGATGATCAGCTTTTTCTTGGAACCTCTTCCAATAGAACTAGACTTCCATTTGAATCTATCCCCTTAAATGCTATCGTTGGTCCCAGAAACATGGTTAATCCGAACATGAATAGGGTTAATTCCAACATGGTTAATCCAAACGTGATTAGTCCCAGCATGATTAATCCTAACATGTTAATCCTACAGCTTATATGAAGATGCTTCGTGACATGCTCAACAACAATAATCCAAACATTCCCTTGTCCAATTCCATGATTCCCAATAATCCAAACATGGTCTCTAATGTCATGCCTATCAACAGTAACCCTACAAACATGATGCTATCGGCGGCAAATATAATGATCAACAATGATCAAAACATGGTTCCAGTCGATCATATGATGATGAACAATGACCAGAACATGATGGTGGGGGGATCGGATGCGATTAACGATTAAAACTTGATGTATACCAATGGTCTTAACAATGTGAACATGATGCCAGCTACAGGATATAATATGACTCAGAATAATGGTGGAAACGGGTAGGAGTTTTTCAAAATTTGAAGTTTATGGGAATGTGTTTTGATTAGTAAGGTCACAGAGTGCTCATACAGCTTGACTTTCATATTTAAGCTATATTATCAATGAAATGTAGAGTGATATATTTTATAAATAAAGGATCTATTAGCTTTCATCTTAACTCTAATTTTACAGTACTATATGCTATGCA